TTGGTTTTAATAGTTTATTCATGTTTTGATTGGCTGGGTGGTAAGCAAGTCTCTGCAGAGTTTTCGTGAAATTGTTCGATTTTGTATTTAACGTTAGCTGGATGTGTGACAGAGCAACATGTACTGTTTTGCTTTGGGCTATACGTGTAAATACAGAAATTACGTTCGCTTTATTTGTTTGCAAAGAGGCTCGTTTTGGGAACGTGGTTAGTCGTGCGGAGTCTTTATTATAAGAGAACGTACGTTATAGGTTGCCATGGTAACGGCGTGAAGATGCCAGTTGCGCTACTGGGTTGTTGTAGTAATGGCTGCGGTCTTGCAAATATTCCCAATTAAGTGGCGTGTGTGTGTGTTCGGTGTGTGTGTGTATATATATTGACCAAATTATTAATTGAGCACCGGGTGCAAGGTGTAAATCATCAGCCCTGTAGAAGCAAAAGTGACCGGGCACGGTGCTGACCACACCATCATGTTCTGTGCAAATGCAGCCTTGATAGTTACTCGCCATCCGCAACTCCACCCCGTTCAACTGTCTATTAGGGTATATGTATATGATCTCTGGTATACGGTGTGCGTGTCTGTGTGTTTGTATCATCTTGTATACCAAAAAGTATCGTTGCATGGGACCAAATGCTCTAAGATTCTCCTTGGGTAGTCTGCACCTCTTGGCACATCCGTTCTCCGCTCTTCACCTCCGCAACCTCCCATCTCACCCTGGGGTTACCCCTACTCCTTCTGCACTGTACCGATGGCAATATCTATCGCTAAACGGGCACGACATGGGCTGTAGAAGAGATGGAGTGATGTGGTACAAGAGGACGTGGAGCTGAGTGGACTTGGCGATGACTGGTACCAGCGGTGTCAACATCGGCCTCTATGGAGGAGGTTTTTGAAAGACGCTCCTGAGCAGTTGGAGGCAGTCGCCCTCTAATAACTGAGGGCAGAGGAGCGACGCTCACAACAATGAGCTGAGCGCCGGGCGGATAAAATACAGCAAGTTAGCACAGCAAGTTAGCTGGTGCATCTACCAGTCATCTCGGTCAGTCAACCCATGGCACCTGGGTCTGTCCTGTGACCTCCCGTCAGCGAGCTTTCGACACTTCACGTGGCCTCAAAGTGCATCTGGCCTGGCACAGACGCCATGGTGTCATCACCGTAGTGCAGTGGTTAAGGCAGTACGCTATGAACCCGGCTTCCACAGCTTGATTCCCGCTCACGGCCAACACTCGTGATGATTATCTGAACCGGCCCTGGGCCTCCCCTAGGTCGACGCAGCCTCAAATTAGTACCTGGTGCGGTGTGTAAACATCGCCACTGGGGAGACAAAGGCAGCCAGGCGTGCTGCTGGCCACCCACCTCCTCGTGTGCCGTGTCGGCCTTCATAGGTGCTCGCTAACAGATTTACATTGTGGGGAGCAGTGGTGGAGTGGTTAGCACACTGCAAAGACCCTAGTTCGATTCCCGATCACGACCAATAACAGTGGCGAATATTCGAAAGGGTTGGGTTGCCACTGTATATGTACGTTTATTTGGGTTTATATGTGTATTGGCACAGTGGGTGATGAATTTATAACCAGTCACCTGTTACTTCCTGCCAGTGTGCCTTTTCCACTTCACGTGGCCTCAAAGCGCACCCAGCTTGGCTCAAGCACCATATTGACATTACTGGAGCTTCATGGCAATTGGCTGTTGCTGTCTGTTCACTCGGTGCCAATTGTTGGTTCCTGCTGTTGTACTGTGCGTTTGTCTGCCACCTGAATTTGATACTTGGCCACAGAGTGATATTCGAACTGGTGTTGGGCCTCTCTGAGGGCGGCGACTCGCCCTGAAATGAGAACCCAGTGCAGTGTGTAAATAAAAGCAGTGGGCACCAAGGTAGCTTGGTGTTTTGGCCTCATCGCCTCGTGCGTGGTGCAGGCGGTTACTAACAGCAATTCCCCAGCAGTCTGGTTGCACGGGATATATTTGTCTTGCATTTTCATGTGTACTGCATCTGTGTGTGTGGTTGGCAGCATTGGCATAATATTTATTGCACTGGGCTAGGATCCCTTCAACTTGAGTTCACTTCTCTGCTTCTCCTGGTCTGCTAGTGGTGTTTGGTGTGTGTGAACATCAAGTCTGGGTGAGACGAAAGTGATCATCACCATTAATGATGCTACCTTAATATATCGTAAGTTAGGCAGGTTTCATTTGTGTTAAATGTAAAGTTAACATGTACATCCACGGGATCGTACAACGTGGTTATTTAAAAGGACAGTTGGGCAGGAGTATTACAATTTCACAGCCGTGCAATGTAATGACATGTCTTGGGGTCTTCAAACTATCTGAATCAAGAATCTTTTCTGTTGTGTTTTTTTTTTGTAACTTCCTCAATTACATTTATTTCACGAGTTTGAACTGTAATTTTTTTTCCCCTCTGCATTTGCCGACTTACATTGCATACAATTTGAATGCGTCGTAAATAATCGATCTCTACACACACGATTCGATGCGCCTCAAATGAGCAAAACAATTAATTATAGTCCACAAACAGTTACAACCCGAATGGACGGATCTTGGCCATCCTTTTTTTGCTTGTGTACAGCGAGCAAGATAGTGCGAGGTGACGCGCACATGAGTGCCCAGCACAATTGAGAAGTCCCCTTTTTAGAACCATCGCTACGCTCACTTCCTTAAAGTCCAGGATTCTACCCTTCCCACTGTGACCTCCCTCTACAAACAGGCTCGCCCAATCTCCCTCCTCTCTTTCTCCCGCCCTCCCATGCTGAGCTGGTATTTTGCGGAAGGTGACTGCAGATTTGTGGCCATTGTTCCGTGAAAGATGCCCTGCTGAGGAGCTTTAACCATCCCGTGCCTTTGTTAGCATGCTGGTGCGTGGCGGATTAGCGTGCGCGTGCTTTACAAATGCTAATTGCGTTGGCGGGGGCATGAGTTGCACTCAAAGAACAACCATATTTTTGCCTGGCACCAAAAGGTAGGGAATGTTATAATTTTATTTCAAAATAAATTGCTCCCTCCCTTACTTGACCCAGCAAAATACATATTCCCAAGCGAGGCCACTTAGTTGTGTAAATCCCACGTCCACAGTGTGTCGCATTGGGATGCCTGCACATGCGGGTACATTTGGAAAAGTGCGTGTTGGTGCAGACAATTAAAAGCCATGGTATTACAAGCTTCTGATGTCACCAGCAGACACGATGTTCACTTACTGGTTACAACACTCGTGCTTTGCTGTTGAGCATTCTGAGTAAATTCTTGCATATCAAAACTCTGTTGCGTGCCTTCATATAATGTATATAACTGTTATTTTGTCCTTCAGTCCATTGACTGCCAGCACCAATATCAGTTTTGTTTAAGCAAAGCAAACCTGTCTCCGCACTAGGTTTGGTTATGCATATGAAGGACATCGAATCCCAATAAGTCAGCTCCAGGAAGAAAGATTTGCATCACTCCGAAACATTTTAATTTAGGGTACAACGACTCTTCCCCCCCTCCGTTAATCTACAAATTATATATTTTTATTATTGTTATTGTGAATGTAGCTTCCACTCGTGGCTACCAATACATGTTTGAGCCACCTGTGATTTAAGAAAGTTTCTCAAATGTATTGACATGATGCTCTCAGCCTTGTCACCATTTTCTTTATTATGATGGTAAGTTACTCAAAACTACACAGGAGAGATTTTCCAAAGTGTTATTAAGTTGCAAATATTATATTATGGATATTTAGCTAACGTATTAATTTGGACAGCCCAGGATGCACAGTTGAGGTGAATAGCTACAAGATTACAGCTATTTTTGTTCGATGGCATAAGAGCTGTTTTCCTTCTTTAATTGGAAAATACATAGCAAGCATTGCCCCCTACTGTGAAAACTTGGCAGATCACTCCTGCAAAAGAGTCGCAAGGCTCAGTGAGGCTTTCCTGCCAAAACAAGCACAACAAATCTAATAATAATTAAAAGCCTGCCAGCAGCATTGCTTTACCGGCACTGGATGTGCAAAAGCGCCCTTAAAAATCCACTGCGGATTTATTTCCTGCCGATGTCGCAGCCTGAATGCGAAATAACGAGGACGGGGAAGCAAGCGCTTGCGAGGGGGCTGATTTATAAATACAGCCCGAGAGAATGTGTAATCACTGCCGTTTTTGTTGCCGGAGGCCGGGGTGCAAACGGCGGACAATGGTCCTTCCCATTTGCATAAACTCCATTTGGGACAGGATCGCATCGTGAAGGTCGTCTGTCCCTGGCGTGTTTTGCCTCGCGATGGCAAAACGCAGATTTGGAAAAAAAAAACATCTACGGCCCTACATGCAGGCGGTAAGACAGGCAAAGATCCCCGCAAAGCCTCAAACAGAATGTTAGCAAGCGGCTGTGTAGACTGCCACGGTACATGAGGGTGTACTCGTTTTAAGGTTGAGTTTCCCTAGGGTGGGCTCAGTACCGGTCCAGATATTCGTCACTGATATTGGCCGTCAGCAGTAACTCGGGTGACCAGGTTCAGTTAGCTATCTCCTGCGCCACCGCTCCACCACACGGACACACACGCACATACACGCACATACACTCGGTGGCGGTGACATCACCACTGCACTTGTACCAGGCTAGGTGCACTTTGAGTGAGGCTACGTGGAGTGTCGAGGTTCACTGGCAGGAGGTCACAGTTTTTTATGGGTTAACCGACTGATATGACTGAAATACACAAACACGCCTACACGCATACAGTTTTACTCTACATAGATAGAAACGAATATACTTGTGACGCATCTGTATCTCGGTCAGATGTCACTTGGCTCATTGTCCACAGGACCGCGATTTCCAAGTAAACGCAGGCACTTGAGTTGCGCAGTGGGTATGGTGTCAACGTTGCATTTTCAAAGTGCGCCACAGAAGCGTCCGTGGATTTATTAACGCGAGCTCTGCGCAGGCCCCGTCGCTTCTAATCAGGGTCACCGTAGAGACGGTGACGTAGCTAGGCACGTGACCCCCCCCCCCCCCCCTTTCCCCCTCCACCCCTTAATCTCTCCGGCCTTCCTTCCAGCGCGTTCTGTAAATTGCAGCCGCTATTGTTGCCGCACACAGCCACAAGAATGAGCGTTTCCATAGCAACTCGCACCGCCGCCGTCACAGCAGCAGCAGCATCATCGGTCCAGCTTGGGGTCATTGGATTCCGCACTGCACACACGTGCACCCACAGTCAGGCGCCGTGATTGGCTGTGGCAACGGTTGCCGCGGCGGCGTGAACAGGGGAAGGCGCCATGGCCCGGAACGAGGGTCCGAGTGCGCATCGTGTGCCGGCGCTGTCACCTCGGGCCGCCACGTCGAGCGGGCGACTCTTCACCATCAGGGAGCAGGATGAGGGTCGGGGGGGAGGTGGGCGGCCAAACCGGCGGTGGAAGCATGTGCCGTCGTCTCTCAAGGTCACTCATGATTACCGGAGTCCGCCGTCCGGCAAGGATACGATCCGGCGGGGAGAATGCGGCGGTCGTGGTGATCGGGATGACGGTCGTGGAGATAGTGGCAGTGGTGGCAATGGAAATTTCGGTGGCTGGGGTAGCGGTCGCCTTAAGGGCCGTGATGGTGGTAATAGTGGTGGTAGTGGACATGGTAGTGATGGCAAAAGTGGTGGTGGTAGTGGAGGCGGTATTAGTGGCGGTGGTAGTGGCAGTGGTAGCGGAGGCGATGGTGGCAGCGTTAGTGGCGATGTCAGTGGCAGTGGCAGCTGTGATATTGATGGTGGTGGTATTGGGGATAGTGGTAGTGGCGGGGTTAGCCATTGCGGTGGTGGTAGGGATGCTGGCGTTGGGGGTAGCGTCGGTCACGAACCAAACCACAATGGTACTGCCGGCGTCCCCGTTGCAAAAATGGTGGTGGAAAAACGATTACGGTTTGAGCCGAAAGTCAGCCATTCTCATGGGAAGCAGTCGCACAGCAAAGGAGTTCGCAAACAGAGACAGGAAGCTCACGGTCCCAGAGCTGTCAGTGTTGTCCTTTCAAAAGTGAGTCCCGGAGGTTCGCCGACGTGTAAATATGCTGGTGGTGCAGTGGAAAGCGCCCGAGCTTCCAGTGAGAACGGGGCCTGCTTGTTTGTGGCTGGTTACGTGACCTCCATCAGCGCGCGGACCACAAAGTCTCAAGAGAGGCCGTCACGTGCCAAACCGTCCAGACACATCGCAGGTACAGCAGCCTGAGACTTTCTCATTGTTGTTTAGTTATGATGAAAACATATAATTGTAACTGAAGCAAACATTTTTTTAATGCAGAAAAGCCTCCAGGAGGGTCCTGCTATACTGGCCATGAGAGTTTGGCTTCATCTGGGAGGAGAATTGGGAGAAAATCCACGCACTTACACGAGGAGGTAACACTCAAGAATTCTGCAATGTTAGATTCTAAACTTACTGTGCAGCCATCTCCTGCCTACCTCACTGCCCTGGCCTACAACATACAAGTATTCTCAGCCCGTCTCACATCCAAGTACTCATCAGACTCAACCCTGCTTAGCTTCCAAATTATGACAAGATTAAACATATGTAGGGTGATACATATGTATCATGTTGAACTTCTTTCGCACCGTTCGTAGCTAACGGTGCTAATCGGAGGTGCGGAATAGGCCACATTGCATAATTGCCAAATCATTGAATGCATTCATCAGCAGACCTACCCACCATTCTCTTTGGCAACGTAACGAATCATTAATGTACTTCCTTTATTAACCCAGAGGGATAATGTGCTGAGCCAATCCCCAAACCACGATTTTTATATATATATAAAAAAAAATGTTTTATTCCACATCCTCCCTCACATCATACATTGCAACATCCTGACCTTCTGGACGGCATTACCAGGAGCATCGACGGTATCGGGCACACCGGACTCATTAGAGCAGGCGGTGGGGGGCGCATTGCCATTCTGGGCTCAGGTATTTAAGACTGGTCTAAGGTTTAGGAATGGATCCCATGTACGTGCGTATTCTTCTTGTCTCTGAGCGTATCGATCAGATGCTCCAGTGCTGAGATTGGGCCTAATTAATTCAGCCATTGAGTATGGGACGGGGGGGGGGGTCGTCCAAAACCAGGATTTGAACTCTCAAACCTGAATCGTGAGAACCCATCAGAATGTTGGGGGAGATGGTAAAGTGGGGATGGGGGGGGGGATAGGAGATAGTCGTTCCATGCTTAGCGAGAGCTGTTTGTGGAGCAATTCCCCTTCATTCTGCCAAATGTGCCTTCGGTGTTGGCTGGGTTTGGCCTTAATCCACGGGCCAAAGCATATCAGGCTAATTCCATGTGCAGACATATTAATTGCAGAATAGCGACCACATTCCTTTTTGGCTTTTGGGAAAGTTAATATTTCATATTTTTTCGTTCGTACACGGCGTTTAGTGCAGTGCAAGAGGGTCACCATTTTGCCAAATTTTTCCATTGCCGCCACGATTTGCTCGTCTTTCGAGTAGCTTTTGCAAACGACGGTCATCGACCATTTCGAGCAAATTATTACGTCATACTGCCGCGTTGGCAGTGGTGCGCACAAGTGAAAGTAACGAAAGGAAAACATTCGTCAATAACATTGTGGCCTTGGAAGGAGAATTACATGTTGGCCGATGTTTCGTGCAATGGTCCTTCATAATTGCACATAAATAAAGCCACAGAGGTGGGTACTCTACCTCTCTGGCCTCTCTGTTTACCATCACTCCTGCTCCTGTGTGATGTTAACATTCCATCTGACACCTGCACGCGACTTAATTTCGTGGCTCCATCTCTGCGGCGGGTGTATTATCGTGTGTGGTTGGCTCCTGTGGCACTGCCACTTTGTCATTAGTCTCGGCACTGGGACATCATCAGAATTAGCTGTGTGTCCAGCGGAAGCCCACTTTATTTACAGTTTATATGATGTCACTAGTCCTCGTGTTTACTTTGTGACTCGTGTAATTTCAAGCGTGCACCTCTCTTATGCTGCTTTGTACTTTTGTCAGCTTTTGTTGGATTTTCTTTGTCCATGGATGAGCCACATGGACATTTTCCAAGACGGCTTATCTGGCAAATGATGATTATGTCATTTATTTACTTAGGAAAAGCCAAGGTGAAAGGGAGTTTTACAGCCACATGCACTCAGCCAGAAAATTGCTTGGGTTTGATGGAGTGTGTGGAAAATGCCCAGTTTCCCCAGTCCAAATTCTGCTCATCGCTGGATTTCCTGCGATTATGAAGTGATGGTGTTTCATGATAATAATAGGGATGGTGTTTGTGCTGGTGATAATGTGGTTGGCGGTATTGGTGGTAGTGGTGGTGGTGATGATGATAGTGATGAAAATGACTGATGGTGAAAAAGCATGTGGTGATTATGCTGGTCATGCTTTGGTGATAATGGTAGTGGTGAAGGTGATCGTGATATAATAATGGTGATGATGACGATGACAACTTTGACTGACAATGATGATGGTGACGATTGGGGTGTGCCTATTCGTGGTGGTGGCGTTGTTGAGGACGATGACTGATAGTGATGACGGTCGGGTCGTGGCGGTAATGCTAGTGACAATACTGACGAAGATCATAGTTACACTGATGTTGATGGGAGGGCTTCTCCACGGCTTTGAATGTTTTGGGTCTCTCCACTTCCTGTGGGAAGGAGGTAGAATAGGGGGGGGTGGTGGGTAGGCTGCTGCCATGGGGGACAAAAATCCTCACATCTGCAGGGGCGGTGGTGAGGTCAGCGCGAGTCGTGTGTTGGCGGACACACGCACGGTTGCTATGACACGTGGTGCGCTATGGAAATAAGCTCTCCCTACAAGGTAGCTGGCTGCCGCCTACCCGCCTAAGCTGTGCCGGCAAAACCCGGGGCTGCTTGGGTGTGGTGGTTCACTGGGCTTGTGCCGGGCTTTTGGTGAAATCCACCGCCCACCGCCGTTGGCAGTCCAGGGTAGCCACTTATCCTAGTTTTTCCCAGCATCGTTCTTTCGTTAGAAGTAGCTGCTGTCCTGGGAAATCTGTAAGAAGTCCTCCACGCACGTGAAAGGTCCCTTGTTTTGTAAGAAAGAGTAGGCCATTGTGTGGGCAGCATCATCGTCCAATTTTTTTTTTCAAATTTGGTGAATAATGTGCAAATTACTTGATTTGTAAAGCATTTGCAATCTTCACATTCTACAGTCAAAACATAGCAGGAATCTGCTGAAAAAAAGTTGAGACTCAGTGAGGCTTTCCTGGGTGAGCAAGTGCAGTGGTGGGCAGCAGAGACACGGGGGGGAGGGGTGAAAATTATGGGGTGTGTCCCTTACCTTGGCAGTGGGAAGTTCCAGGCTCACAACAACAACATCCATATAGCCTATAGGTCTCTGTGTGGAAGTCTTAAGGTAAGCAAGGGATGAAATAAAATGGGAGAGACCTTTGCCCAGTATTGAAAAGCTCCAGCTCGACAACATCAACAACAACATCAGCAACATTAACAACAACTTGAGCGTAATAGTATACCACTCAAGACGACGCATTTACACATTCTTCTCCCCTCTTCCGGTTATTGAGATATTGTTCATCTTCTTCCCATGGTATGTCCCCGGTTCGTTTGCACTTCGGAGGTATCAACCGCAATGTAGCGTCGGTGTCCAATGAGTGTGGATTACACGCTGTAAGTGAGAACCTTATATTTCGGGGACGGTGACGGTGGCATGTGTCATGTGTCATGCTCCGTGGTCATTTGGAATGTGGATTATATAAAGTTAAACCTCGGTGAGTAACGTCTGTTAAAAAAGGTTAAACCTGCTCGTTGCTTGAAATGGGCGAGTCCCCGATCCCATCGGCTCTCATGAGCTCGGCAGACTTGAACCCGGTGAGTACTTGGATTGGTGACCAGCAGTGCTTGCCAGGTGTTGTAGGTGAAGCATGGGGGTTACGAAGCATGGCCAGGAGATAGCAGTGCAAAGTTTATACGGTGGTGGATTTCTCCAACACGAAGTAAAACTATAATTATTAATGGAATTGGCCAAATCAAATGAAGCAGGGCCCTCCTGAAATGGTCTTGAGGCTCGGTGAGGCTCTACGCTCTTAAGTGGCATCATTATTTTAGTCTGGAATTTCACTGGTCTTACTGATGCATACATTCCAGAGGGGGCTATTTCACCACTATTATTGGAAAAGTGTTCTCATTCCTTTATATAATATCATGTGCTTAGCCATAAAAGTTTCGCTGAGTCACAATATGTATTTTTTTTTTGCAGCAGGGCCCTGCCTGTCATATAGGGGTATTTAGCTGGTTACCTTTTGAAGAATGGGTTGCATGTGATATGAAACTGGAGCACCAGGAGGAAACCCCATGCATATGAGAGGAAATGCTGACAGGTGTGTTTATGAACCCACTTGCTGTACTAATGTCTCCTTGCCAACTCGCAGCCCCCAGCAGGTTTGTGCGTTTCACAATTCTGTGTGTAATGCACCCTTATTCTTTACTTCAGAGGTGGGAAACATTTTCCTACTGAGGGCCGCTTCGGACAAAGCTCCCCTGTTCCCCACTTTTCATAGGCCGCTCATGAGTACGCACCTTAGCACTTATCCAATAATAACGAGAAAAATAATTACGGCTCACTTTTGCAGATGACTGAGTGCGCCGAAATTAGCAACACTGTCATGTTTCCAGGTTGAAAATATTCCTCTAGTGCACGATTAGTGCAGCCAACACGTTGTCAGTGACGGATAATTATAATTTGTGGCCAGTTTCAAAGAGGCAGGCCTGATGTGACCGCGGGTCATGTGAAATTAAGTCTTTGGCCGTAAGGATAGAAGTCACGGGTTGTACGAAGTGATGTCTGGCGCTGTACGGATAGAAAGTGTGGCTCATATGAAATTAAGTCACGGGCCCTGTCAAGTCCATGGGCCATAGCCTCCCCCACCGCTGCCTTGCTCCAAAATTAATGGATTGCTGGCACGCATCACCGCTTAAGAAATGCTATGTAAACACATAACAGAGGGTGACAATTGCTATGAATGTAAACATTAACGGTGCGTTAAGGGACTTAATGTAGCATGCGTGTACAACAGCCTGCAGCATCTGTAAGAGCTTCTCGTGGATAAAGCTTAATGCGCCATGAACGCACATGCGCACGGCCGTTTATACTGCAGCGGTGGTGAGTGGCCAGCGGTGAGTGGCTGATGCTGATGTGCGTGGGATAACGGTGGGAAGATGAGCGATGC